CCGTTGTTTAAACCTAAACCTACACCTATCTTAACTATTTCTTCAATTCTTTCTGTCAAAACCTTATTACTGGAACTTATTTTTTTTTTCTTCTTCTTCGCATTCACCAGCTGTAAACTCTGGTGGAAAAATTCTGGTTGTTCATCCACTTTTGGACTGCAGTCCTGTTCCAGATTCCTAATGTTGTGTGCGCATACATTTTGCAGATCTGACTCATCTGTATGCAGACTGTTGGTTTTTTGCCTCTCAGGCTTTACTGTAACTCATTTGAACCCTATATCTGTGACACTGGTAAGTGACAATCCCCCCCCCCTCCCCCTCACCCCCACCCCTCAAGATTGAGTGAAGGCAGCAGTTCCCAACATGTGCTTCATGTAGCCCTTGGAGCAAGAATCTTTCTGATGCAGAACACACTTCTGCAGCACAAGTTCAGGATTCTGGGGTGCCTATCCCATATGTTAACTTATTTTTCATGCTGTTTCATTAATCTCGTTTCCCAGTAATTGATATTTCAGTGTTCGGTTAGAGTGCTGGCCTCTTATGCAGCAGTCCTGAGTTTTATCCTCGGTAAAGGATGAAGTTTGTTTTCTGTCGGGTGCAAAAATAAAAGCCCTAACCTGCACATATTTTTGTGACTTCAAAAGTCATGAGGTCTTAATTCCTCATGTTTATGACACCTCCACTTCCCCCCCCCTCCCCCCTCCCTTTTTTTTTTAACCCATCCTTCATCTTATAGTCCATGATGTGTGGCTTTAGCAGTCATGTCTATCCACAATCTTGTATCTTGTGTACTTTCCATCAGTTCTGACACACATGATCTTCTATGCCATGTTGTCAAACTGTCTAGGATCATCTCTCTCAGCCTCCCTCTGCCTCTCTTTCCCTCCAACTTTTTCACCATTGTGATGTACTCCAATTTTTTTTCCTTCTCAAAACATGATCAAGGAATGTAGATTGTATCCTTATGTAGACAATCAGTTCTCTTTGTAAGTCAGTTTTTTTCAAGACATCTGCATTAATCCTTTTATCTGTTCAGGGTATTCTTATCATTCATCTATTAAAAAAAAAACATCTCCATCACTTCCTAATAATTCCTAACTCATCATCCTACTGTTAATGATTTACTTCCTGTCCTCCCACCCAAAAAATTGTAAGTTCAGGCAGTAAAGACAGTTTAATTTTCAAACTGGTGCCATCTCCCCACCAAAGGTTGGCTGCAGTGACATGTGCATCCACTGCTATCTATGTCAACATTATATGGTGAGACAACATATCACGTCCTCCAAGACTGTCCCAAATACAACATATCAAGGCAAAACTTTGGACCAAGAGAAACATCCATGCAAGCCAAACTTTACGGGTCACTTAGAGAATTACAAAAGACAGTGAATGTGATTTTTAAAAAGTCAGTAAAAAAAGTAAAGGACCCTTTTCTATGCCTTTAGGCGTATAGGGCTAGACCTATATTTTTATAGACCAATCAGCACATGATGGGTGATGTGGTCAGCATCATGATGACCGCCTTTACTTTTCCAGGACTGCACCCAGTACCCACTCAAGGCTGGGTCGACCTGGGAGCCAAGGTCATTATTGAAAACAGTCCGGCTCCGCCAGGAAGCGAACCCACGACCTTCTGATCCGCACTCAGCGTCTAGCCGCTCGGCCACGGTGACTCCCCATGAAGTTCATACTAGAGACAAAATTGCAGATATCGATAATCTATTTCAAGTGAATTAAAGAAGAAGAAGAATTATATGGTGATGTTCACAAAGACCTTCAAGGTGCAACGTCACCATTGTTAGGGGGGGGAAAAAGAATTAAGGGCCCTTTTTCATGCATTCATTTTGGGCACACAGGGCTAGACCTACATTTTATAGACTGTGTGGCTAATGTGGTCAACATCACGCCGGCCGCCTTTACTTCTCAGGACTGTACCTGGTACCCATATAAGGCTTGGCAACCTGGAAGCCAGAGTCACTTTTGAAAACAGGCAGGCTCACCAGAAGTATTTTCCTTAAATAAATCACATGCCACAGAAATGTAGCTCTGGTAGAGGACCCTTTTCCACACCTTTGGGCATATAGGGCTAGACGTATATTTTAGACCAATGGGCACTGGCTACGTGATGTTGGTGAGCATTATGCCAACCACCTTTACTTCCCAGAAATGTATCTGGTACCCATTCAAGGCTGGGTGAACCTGGCAGCTAACTTCTTTTTTTTTTTTTTTTAAGTCCGACTCCATCACGACTTGAACCCATAACTTTCCATCTGCAGGCAAGCATCTAGCTGCTACACCTCTGCGGCAAATAAACTCTGATACATCAAGGATTTTGTATCATGAAGACAGATGTATAAAATAAACCACACTTTTACTTTAAATTACCAAACAACGCAGCATGAGTGACTAGATATTGCTCATGTTCATTAGTCAACATGTTTTGGTTTTACATCATATACTTAGTCAGGGTGTACCCAAGCACTCCAACAACACACCAGTCTTCTACAAGGATTGTCTATTTAGACTCTGTGGATGTAAAACTGTAAAACACCTATGATTTTCTTGCTTGCCTTACTAACTCAATCAGACATTAGCTACAACCTTCAGGGACTAAAAGAGTTAATAAAGACACCAACAAATATACACAATACATAGAGAACCCAATACAAAATGACAATATTGTATTATCAATATAAATTTTTAAAATATTGTGTTATAAAAAGAAAATATGACTTGGACATACTGGCAATAACATACGAATCATGAATATTAAAACAAGATTAAGTATAAGTTGTTGGCTTTTTGTTGGTCTCTTCAGATGGTACTGTTAAATTGTACAATATACAGACAAGGAAATCACAGCCCAAACCTCTCCATAACACACAGTTGGGGGACTATTGTAGAGATCATGTGTTACATGTTTAAGCAGTTCAAACCTTAAATAGATTTGAAACAGCAATACATATAAAGTTGACGCAAAAACATGAGAACTGTTACATTTATATATAAAAAATACTCATGTGGATTAAAGGAAAAAAGCATAGACCAACAGCTCTTTAATAAGGAAGTCATAAAAGGCGGCTGACTTATCAAGCTTTTGCTGAAATCAAATATTTAGGGCTGTAAACCAAAGTACAGTGTGACAACCATTATTTTAAGAAAAAATGCCGTGGATATAAGATAGATTAGGTTACCTGAATATTTGCCATCTCCTGGGAAAACTGCCTGACCTGTGTCTTATTCTTAGTCAAAATTTGCAATGTTTGGCTTTAGTGAAAACAGATTAAATGACAACATTTTATATAAAGACATATGTATCAAAGGTTTTAGAGTTATTAGAAAGACCCGCATAGGAAACAAGAGTCAAGTATAGAATCTAGGTCAGTAATTTACTAAATTATCACTGCAGAATAGATTTAGAGTTTAGTAATATAGAATGTGTATTTTTAGAAGTTAAACTACAAAATCACAGACCCATGATGGTTACAATAGTTAAATAGACATGTAACATAGCACACACTCTCAAGTTCAAGGTGTTTCCTTTGTGCCAAAGAACTGCATGGCTGTTGGGTGAACAGTCGTTAATGAAGGCAGGCGGTCGTTGTAGGGGTGACGCCTGCTGGTGGATGTAATGTCCTAAGCTAATAATGAGGGTACTGCTGGGGTGACCGTTTATTAACCCTCAAATAATGCTTTAGGTCAAAATGGACGCTAGGCACGGCCACCTTTTTTTTTTTTCCTGCCAGACAGTGGCCGTTGCATTTTTGCTCCATTTGTAGACTGGAAGGATATAGTTTCATCGCCCAGCTTCTGAGTTGAGTGCATGGCATGACACTGTGAGCTACGTGTATTTTTCATTGGCACAGGAGCGGAGCAACTATGGGGTGACCCGTTTGCTTTGAAGCTGAATCTAGGATTACCAGATTACCAGTTTTTAAAAAATTCAGGGGTTCAAACCATTGTTTAGAGATGATAGTTTGATGCCTGGTGTAGTAAGTAGAGTTTCTGATTTGCATGTTGTTTAGTTTGGCCTCTTGTCTCTACTACCTCAGCATACACTAATCTGAATATTATAATTTGTTTAATTATGAAAAAATTAAATACTACACATAAAAAATAAACATACCATAACATATCAAATGAATGTATAGTAGTAGTAAATTTTACCCCACTAGGACATCACACAAGCAATAAACACCCGATGACACAATGTGCCACCATGTGGATGAGAATCACCAGTGGAGAGGTCCCGGAAACCACGTTTAGCCATTAGACCATATATATGGTCGGGCTATATTTCGGCTCCTGGCAAGAGCCAGGATGGGGCTTCAATATAGAGAAAAACAGCATCCCACAAGTGGATGACAAATACACTGATGAATGTATAACTTTTTTTTTTTTTTTAAGAAGAAGAAAAATACAAAAAATACATGTACATGAAAAGCAGTATTCATAAGAAGTGTCGGGGTTTAAACTGAAAGCCTCAAGTGATGTTTTTAGAATGTCTTTAAATCATTTGTTTTCTCTTTGTATCTAGCCACTAAAGTTAAAGGATAAAGGCAGACCAAAAAACACACAGAAAAGGGAATTAGAGAAGGAGGTGGAAAGAACAGAGAAGATACGAGATGAGCTGTATACAATCACAAAGGATAGGGTGACTTAGCCTGAGATGGTTGAGGGTCTGTGCTCCACTGGAGGAATAAAGGGCACAAGAAACATCTAAAAGAACATATGAATAAATATACATAATGGACATATGAACCGCAGTACAAAAAATATAAAGACATAAACAATTTCATATATAAAGTTAACATATGAATAACAGTATACAAGAACAATCATGAACTTGAATTAAACATCTGAACAACAATAAAATATAGAAAAAGGTCCTATTAACAATAGAAAAAAAAATATATAACAGTTAAACATTAGCAGGCGTGAAATGGATTTCAGGTGGCATTTTCTTGGGAAAGAGTCTTCAAAGTGTCATGGCCGATTTCTCAAATACTGATGCTGTTTGGGATGATCTCCGGGTCTAGATATTCGTATGGTGGGTTTCTGTGAATGTTTCTTTCTTTGATCGTTTTACTGATTTTGTTAAGGTCACTGCGAAACCTGTTAGAAAAAAAAAAAAGAATTTTTAGCATTTTGAATGGCAGTGTTTTTTCTTTCTTTCTGGGATCAAGGGGATGGTGTGACAAAACCTAGTATTAATTCCTGGCATGAGTGATTAAGCAGGAAGTGAGCAGAGGGCTTGGATGACCCCTAATGATTTTGGGAACAGATAGATGGACTTTAAACTCTTTCACCAACAAAGGAAAAAACAGGACTTGGTAATTGCTGAATAACAATCTCTTTAAAAACAACCCTTTACACAGGTCACTAAAATGTTTTAACTGCTTAATTAGATATTTTATGAAACAGGGAGTTTTGGAACAACAGGTTGACTGAGATCAAGCTAATGTGTTTTTTACTGTAATTAGGTATTTTGTATAACTGGGTGTTGGAAACACAGGTCCTGTCTCCTTTAAGGGCAAACAAAGAATAACAACAACAATAAAAAAACAAGAAGAATGTCACAAGATCATGTTTCAGCACAACACAAATAGATTTCCTGAAATAAGGCCTAGTTTGGTAATGTTGCTTCAGTAGGTTTTTAATGTTAGATTGTCGGTACCAACTGGCTCATTGCCTCATGACACCGAAAAGTGATGAAGGTAACAAGTTACTCATCAACTATCTCTGTGACCTGTGGGTCAAAGATTTACTGAACTTCAAAACAATGCTTTCCTGTTGTAAATTTAAATAATGTGGACACAAACAATAGATTGCACAATTTATTGCCTGGCATATTCCACTTTATCTCGCCAGGTACATTACTACAGAGCTAAGTCAACATATAATGAAGCACAAAAATTTAATCTTTTCTCTAAAATACATAAATTGCACTGACAAGCTGGGCTGTACATCTCTCCACCATAAATTTTAGATCAGCTATGTGATTATCATGGTAACTTCAAATTTATCAAATGCTCTTTCTGTTTATGTAAAACAGGTGAATTCAGTTTCACTTATACACAGCCTCTGCCAGTTTAGTGAAACAGCCGCTGGACGACTGTTATATAAATTGAATTAGGCTTATTTAAGCGAGCTAAAAACCTGGCCAACTTGGGGGTCAGGAAGTGATAAAACAGACGGGAGTGACCAGTTCGCTCTCTGAGGCTCACTGGTTTTAGGACGAGAAACATGTAGTTCTGATTTGTCCGTTGCGTTCAATGATTTTACGCAACGTGGGTTGAGGTGTGTAGAGAGAAAGATAGGTTCCATCTATTGTAGGGTATTTCCTAACACGTTGTGAATTGTAATGCATTATTATTTGTGAAGACCTTAGATGATGTTCAGTGAAATAAATAGATGTGAATGTGATAATGATAGTCCCAGCTTTTGATTCGGATTAGTACTTGTGGCTAGTGTGCGTAGTTTGTTTATTTGTTACCTGGCTTATTAGACTTTACGCAGAAGATCTTGTGCCTGGACTAGAATATTCTTGTTTCTAGTCCCCACCTAACGAACTATTTTCCTTTATTTTTTATCTTGGTACTTAGGGCTTCTCCACCCTAGTACATTAGCAAAAGTCTATTCAATGTGCTGTAAATAATTTTGAAGTCACAGAATCGAGCAAATGATGTCTTATCAAAGAACTGGCTTCTGTCTTCCTGGTTAACCTTGAAACAGTATCTCCACTCAGTTGTGGATGAAGCCATTTAGGGGTGTGTTCTGCCACTCTGTTTTCAAGCTGTCTATCCGTTTGACCGATGTAAGTCACCTGGCACTTACACGTAAATTAATGAATGCAATTGGATTTGGTGTATGAGATACAGGCTCACTGACAGGTGGAGTATGGATGTTGGTGGTCTTGTATCTAATCAATAGGACAGCAGCGAAGAACAGAAAGAGCATGTGATAAATTTCAAGTTGTCATGGTAATTGCATGGCTGGTCTTGAACTGGAGAGATGTACAGCCTGACTTGTGACAATGTGATTTATGTATTTCAGCAAACAAATTATATATTGATTTAATACTATAGTAATGCACCTGATGAGATACAGTGAAACTTGCCAGGTGATAGATTGTGGAATGAATTGCTTGTGTCTTTAAATATAGTGAACTAATGAATTACTCATTCAACTATCTCAAGCCTGTGTGTCAAAGATATACTGGACTAATGACTTACTCATTCAACTATCTCAAGCCTGTGAGTCAAAGATATACTGAACTAATGACTTGCTCATTCAACTATCTCAAGCCTGTGAGTCAAAGATATACTAAACTAATGACTTACTCATTCAACTATCTCAAGCCTGTGAGTCAAAGATATACTAAACTAATGACTTACTCATTCAACTATCTCAAGCCTGTGAGTCAAAGATATACTAAACTAATGACTTACTCATCAACTATCTCAAGCTTGTGAGTCAAAGATATACAGGACTAATGACTTACTCATTTAACTATCTCAAGCCTGTGAGTCAAAGATATACTAAACTAATGACTTCCTCATCAACTATATCACTGACCTATGTGTCAAAGATATACTGAACTAATGCCTTTACTCATCAACCATTTCTCTGACCTATGTGTCAAAGATATACTGAATTAATGACTTGCTCATTAACCATCTCTCTGCGCTGTGGGTCAAAGATATACTGAACTAATGACTTACTCATGAACTATCTCTCTGGTCTGTAGGTAAAAAATATACTGAACTAATGACTTACCCATCAACTATCTCTCTGCCCTGTGAGTCAAAAATATACTGGACTAATGGCTTATCAACTATCTCTCTGGTTGGTGAGTTAAAGATATACTGAACTAATGACTTACTCATCAACTATTTCCCTAGCTGGTGGGTCAAAGATATACTGAACTAATGACTTACTCATCAACTATCTCTCTGGCCTGTGGGTCAAAGATATACTGAACTTCAAAGTCCCCGATGCTTTTAGTTCCCTTAGCACTGAGAATTTTGGTCACAATCATAATGTCTAAAGTTGTTGGTCTGTCTGGCAGGCAGTCCAGAATCTCTCGCTCTGTGGCGGTAGCATTCTGGAGACAAAAAGTGGTATTTCTGAACAATAATACTTTATGTAAGAGTTAAATTTAACAGAAATTAAATTACACTATTTTATGATAGTCAAGTATAATTTTTTGAATATATTTTAGTTATATATCACTTTTTGATGTGTAGAAGATGTAAAAACCAGCCTCTATATTTATCTAAATATGTGTAAGTGGACATGAAGCTTGATACAGGCATTTAGGTAGATTCATGGGAACAAAATCCTATGGACTATGTTTAGTGCAAAGGGGGGGGGGGGAGGAGGAATAGAATTAATGAAAATATGACTGCAGAAAGATTGACAGCCGAGCGTCAGAAAAAAAATACACTAAATACCTAGTGAATAATGAAACTATCAGGCAAATTGTGGGAACGACACCTTGTACTAGATTCATCGAGAAACAGCAGATCAAGTGGTTTGGCCATCTTATTAGAATGCAGCAAGATCAAATACCATCACAAGCACTACATCTCAGAAGATCAGCTACAAGAGCAAGAGGACGGCCGCGGAAAACATGGATCGACAACATTAAAGACACTCTACGCCTTCACTGTATAACAATAGCCAGTGGCAGCCAACGTGCACTGGATCGTAAATTATTCATCCCCACAACGCTTAACACAGAAGTGGTTTATGATGATGATGACATATGATGGCAACAACAATCCTGAAATCTCATTCTCTGAATGTGAAAGACTTTTCTTAACATGGTGGGGGGGGGGGGGGGGAGGGAGGGGGTGTCTTGCAAGTCACACTCACCATGGCCTGTGATTCACATGCCCCCTGACTGCACAATACAAAACAATCATCTGGAAGGATGGATAGGGGCCAACAACACAGAGGTTCCATAAGTGAAACAAAGAACAGGAGCAATGTCACCTGTCATGATGAGTCTCATAAGAGGTGACTAAGGATGGTTGAGCTGAGACTGGTTACCTCACCCCTATTGAGAAATATAGCTGCAAAATTCAAACAATCATGAATACAGATGCAAAATTCAGTCAGTCATGAACGTAGATGCAAAATTCAGTCAATCAGGAACAAGTCTACAAACAGCTTGGTGTGTGTTTGTTGGGGACCTATTCTACACAGGGAAGGGGTGAGGATGTAAAGCAGAAGAAGTGAAGAAGTAAACCTTAACAACTACCTTTTCCATAGGCATTGAAAAGCCTCTATACTCAGTGCAAATAGGATACAGAGTGGTAGGTGTGGCCAGGTCAGGGTTAAACAGGTCCAAGGCCACTATTCCCCTCTGAAGGTGTGTCCACTTGACTAAACACTAGTCTGGTAAACAAGGGAAGATAACTTATGCTGAAGATCCTGGATCCTGGACAGTTTGACATCATGGCATGGAAGGCCATCTTCTAGGTCAGAACTTACTGAAAGCACACGAGACAGAAGGTTGTGAAAAGACATGACGACTAACACAACTTGGCATGCAAGACCATCTTCTAGGTCAGAACTTACTGAAAGCACACGAGACAGAAGGTTCTGAATAGACATGATGACTAACACAACTTGGCATGCAAGACCATCTTCTAGGTCAGAACTTACTGAAAGCACACGAGACAGAAGGTTCTGAATAGACATGATGACTAACACAACTTGGCATGCAAGACCATCTTCTAGGTCAGAACTTACTGAAAGCACACGAGACAGAAGGTTCTGAATAGACATGATGACTAACACAACTTGGCATGCAAGACCATCTTCTAGGTCAGAACTTACTGAAAGCACACGAGACAGAAGGTTGTGAATAGACATGATGACTAACACAACTTGGCATGCAAGACCATCTTCTAGGTCAGAACTTACTGAAAGCACACGAGACAGAAGGTTCTGAATAGACATGATGACTAACACAACTTGGCATGCAAGACCATCTTCTAGGTCAGAACTTACTGAAAGCCCATGAGACAGAAGGTTGTGAATAGACATGACTACTAACACCATGGCATGGATTCTCCATCACTTTTGTCTTTGTAGGATGGAATAGGTGCAAGTCTAGTACTCTATATTTGTCATTGGCTTTTGTCTTTCTTGCAAATATATATTTTTAATATCCTAAATCCAACAATGAACATGTCAAATACAGTAAAAAATAATACTTAGTTAGCCAAGATAAAAGGACATGCTTCTCATAAAATAATTTTAAAGTGGTGAGGAAAAAGAAAAAAAAGATCACCTTCTTTATTTTTCTTGATATCAACAACGTGCATATTATTATATGAACATAACATGCTTTATTGATAAAATACAACTACTGTATGAAAATTAGGTGTTTGGAAGGGCTGAATGTAAGACAGGCCTGCATGCCCAGTTTGTAACACTGAAAATAAAGTTTGTTTGTTTGTTCATTCACATAGGAAAATCTCCAGGAGATGAATTTGGGGGATAGAGAGGCCAGAAGGTGAGCTGCATATGAAAGCAATGGATAGGATGACTTAGTGTTAGTTTTTTGACAGCCTATGCTTCATTAAGAGAAACCAGGCAGAAGGAAAAGATGAAGACGAATCAATACAGCAACATAAATTAGTTTATAACAAATGTGTTCTCTATTTACTAACTCAAAGACAAACAAGAGTAGACACATCTGAACACATCTGTCACTTACAGGATCAGTTGGTGGTTTTCCACGCATCAGACCTGGGTAGTTAGGGGGAAATGCATACTCTTCATACTGTGGGAAGTTGGTGGAGGCGTGTGAAATGCTGCATGTGTATATGATGCAGGTGACAATCTGTGCCAGCTGATCATTGCTGGTGATTTCTCCATTTCCTGGAACTCCCTGGAAAACAATTAAAATTAAATTTGAACAAAGAAGACACAAACAATAGATTGCAAAATGTATTGCCTGGCATATTTTGCTGCATCTCGTCAGGTGCATACTACAGTAACAATTACTTAAATGATGCAAATAAGTGAATCCTTTACAACTGAAGTGCAAAATCAATAACAGACAAAAACAACTGCCTGTTTTACCAGGGCAGCCACAGTGTCTGAATTCTTTTTACAAAATTCAGTTTTCATTTTTTTTTTTTTGTCTTCCTTGTTCAAATTTATGACCGGGAAACATTGCTTTAAATTAAAATTAAGTTGGAAAGATACATTTACTTGCTTTATTTTTCTTCTGATGTGAGTAACCAGTTTTCTTCTTCTTTCTTCTTTTCTCTAGTCCTGTTCTGCTTTTCTATGTCAGATTTTGAGGAATCATCTGGTGCTTTCCCTGTGAGTTAATGTTTTCTAAACATATTACATTTGTATGTGTCCAGGTCCTCCTCATCTTTCTTCAATAACACCATCACCACCTCATCATCATGTTCTTGCTGGTAAAAGTAGGCTGTCGTGTTTCACTGTCTTACATGATCACCAGAATCATGGATCAGGTCAGTATACTTATCTTGACCCAATCCTAATGTCTAAACCATCCAGGTATTTAAGTAGACATTTTTCGGGGGATGTTGTGCTTTGAGGAAGATATTTTGCTTTGCAATTACCATAACTTCAGTTTTCCTGTGTTCAAATTGGAACTTAATTTTGATTTTGGAAGCAACGCTCAGTTCACCAGTGCAGTTTTTTTGGGGATCCTTGGGTATATATGTTACAGCTGCAGTGTTTGTGTTTTGTGTGGGGCACTCAACAGGCTAGCTATTCTGTGGAGAGAGACTAGGTTGTGTGGCAGGCATTTCAAACTGGCAGCTCATGGGCTGCATGCGGCACTGTGCAACCACACTTGCAGCCCACAACAAATTTAATAAATGACTCCAATTAGTTGTCGTGTATGGCCCTCATAAGGACAAAATTTGACCTATATGGCCCCCAAGGGACCCCCAGTTTTACATGTCTGCTATATGGATAACCCAGTGCAATGAAGCAAATTCTGTTGGCTTTTCATATCTTAATAATTTGCTTCCAGCTTGTCATATTTTCTTTGATGATGTGAATTGGAGAAACTATTTTGCTTTGCAATTACCATAACTTCTGTTTCTCTGTTCAGACTGAAATTTCATTTTGACTTTGTTACATGTGTGCTCATAACTATTTGTAACTGTTTCATTTTCAGTGATCAAAACTGCAAAACACATTTTTGACATGATGACCTCAACCCCCCCCCCCCCCTTTTTTTTTTTTCCCTGCTGATGTTACTGGTATTTGTTGCATGGATCTAATTGGTATTTCATTGTATGAACTGAATCATCAGGGTGATATATAAGAATATAAAATAGGCAAAGAACAAATATTCATCTTCTTGATAGCATTCACCAGTGGTAAATTCCGGCAAAAACTTCTGGTTGTTCGTCCAATTCTAGACTTTGCTCCTGTTCAATTTAATTTGTATGTGCACATCCATTTTACAGAACTGGCTTAGTTGTAGATAGACTGTTGGTTCCTTGTCACTGTTTTAGATACACACTGATTTCAACACAAACATCCCAAAATATTGCCTTGTACAACATGAATGTTAGGCAGTGGGTCTATTCTTTTCTTGCCATAAATAAGGCCCTGGTACCACATAGAGGGAAAAGGAGAAGAAAGACATTCAGGTTTGAAAATAAAGGACAAAATAAGAAAAATAGAAAGAAGACAGTCAAGGCATAAAGGAGCAGCAATAAGTGACTAGATGCTAACCTGCCAGTTCAAAAGTTTTGGGTTCAAATCTGGACAAGGCGGATTTGAAAGAAACTTAACCTTGGATCCAATGTCAACCCATTCTAAAAATGCTATGAGAAAATTTCCTGGGAAGTAAATACAGCTGACATCATGTTAACTACATCCGGCATCAAATCTAGCATCATATGCTTGATGGTCATTTTCAAAATGCACAGAAAAGGGCCTTTATTTTTAATCAATACATAACAGACTATACTAAAAAAAGCAAGACATTATAAAACTGGTATGCAGAAAATATAAAAATGGAGAAACTGCAGATCTACCATGACTTTCAGGCCAGTAGGTTAGCATCTAGCCACTATGGTACCTTGGTTGTCTTAATTTTTCTTATTTTGTCCTTTACATCAGTGTTCATCAACTTGTTTACACCCGTGACCCCCCAAAACAGTGGAAATTTTTTCGCTGCCCATCTGACAGCTAACCAAACATAGAAACAAATGCAGATAGCAGATTTTTTGTTAAATTCAAGGTCATAAAATATTTTCAGCTAATGCGACATCTGCTGCTGCTCAGAGGTAAGACATCTATGGATGGAGCGTTGTTGAGTTATTCGAAGTGCTGCAAGAACATTCATCCCATTTCTCAGTTTGGTTTGCAATAACTGTTTTATACAGTTAAGCAGGGTTTCCAGGATTTGAAACTGTTTTATTCTCGCCCTTGAGGTGTTAATCCTAAAGACTGCAAACCTTGAAGAGAAAAATTACCTACCCGACCCCGTTACATGATTAGGCAGAAACATCTGGCGGCCCACCTGGACTTTTCCATAGCCCACCAGTGAGCCGCACCCGATAGTTTGAAGAATACTGCTTTACATCTCCAATGTTATTTTCAACTTTTTTTTTTCTCCTGTTCTATTTTCTCTTTTGTATCCCCCGTTTATTCATTTCATATAGTGAAATAATAAAGAGATCCACCTAATTTTGATCTTTCCTTGTTCTTTTTCCCCATTTATTTTAAACATGATGAAACAAAACACTGTATAACACTTTACCAATATCCCAACGCCTCCTTCTGATTTGTTTCGTGGCTTCACAAGTTCCTTAGCCCAGTTTTGTATTTCATAGTCTGCTAAAAGCAAGTCTGTAGTACCTAGTGTGATAAAGTAATGGAAGTTTTCATGTGGACTGTTTTAACAAATTAGGAACAATTTATAAGTTCTTCAATTTGTTTACTCTTTATACACCAACATAAATTTAGTCTACTGAAAAACACACGATTCTGCTGTTCTATATGTTTTGTGCTTCATTATTGATTCTGCAAGACCACACACCAAGAAAGAGACACTACAGAAATGAAATATGACATTAACACAAGCAAAAGACAGGAAACTACATTTAACTGCTCTCTGCGGCATAAACAGTAGGACAGAAGAAGAAAGAAAAGAAAAAAGTAAGAAAGTAAGTTCACAATTACAGTATCAGTGGTGCCAGTGTCCATCTGATTATTTGTTCCTCTGGTTTTTCTCTGGGTTTTGAATGTCGACCAGATCTTCTTGTTGCTGTAGATCTCTCTCTAGATCTTGATCTTTTCTTGTGTGTTCGCATGCATCCGTGTGTAAGTATGAGTGTATGTATGTGTATGCATGAGAGTCTATTTATGTGTATTTATGAATATGTGAGTTTTTATGAATGTATGTGTTAGTGTTTTGTGTGTTGAATGTATGTATTTGCATGAAGATATGTGTGGTCTGTGTGTGTGTGAGCATAATGTACTGCTATGTATGTGTCTTGTGTTTATGTGTGCATGTGTGTATATGTGTATGTGTGCTTGCATGTATGTGTGAACATATGTATGTGTGTAAGCATTTGTATGTATTATCTTTGTATGCATGTAAGCATGCGCACACACATACGCGCGTGCGTTTGGGTATATGTGTGTGTGTGTGTTTACTTTGATTGCATATTTGAATGTGTGCTTTTACCACCCAAGTTTATGTGTATTTTACTTGATACCAATATCTATATTGCTATATGAACATAACATGCCTTAAAGATCAAAAAAATAATTGCAGTATGAAATATGAGTGTTGAGAATGGTAAAAAGTAAGACTGGCCTGTGTGCCCAATTTTTTACCCCTTGAAAATCAAGTTTGTTCGTTCGTTCCCTTTTCATATATACACACATGTAAAAATTAAGCCAACTTACGATAGTATAAATTCACATATGAATCCACATATTTTTTAATAGCTTCATACAAAAGCAGTGCATCATTTCTGAAGTGGTAACACGGCAGGATATTCGTGTCACTCAGCTGGTGAATAAGAATTACATGTTTGTATAAATTATAAAATAAAGTACTAGTTTTACAACTTTAGGAAGAGGAAATGCAACCTGAAAACGTAATGTTATCGCTGGGCAAAGCAGGTCCTTAAATCTTGGTTGGCAGTTGGTCAAGGAAGGAAGTTCCTACAGTCGGAAAGATGGAGCACTGCTTTTCTAATGCAACAGATTCTGCAGCATGCTTTGTTTTAAATGTATTGGTGTTAGGTTTTCATTTGGAGTAAACAAGGCAGGCAGATAGAGGGATCATGCTGCCTAGACAACACCTGGTCTTTACCATACCAGTGAGGTTTTGTGCTTTTGACTACACTGGTGCTTTAAGAACATGGTGCCAGATTCATAATTGTATAGACCAGTGTTTCCCAAACATTTCTTAGCCGCTCCGCTTTTTTTTTTTAAATAAAAATGTTTTCACGGCGCTCTAACCTAAGTAAATGTATGACTATTCACATGTAAGAGATTTTTTTTTAAAATCCTGTATCTTCAAATATTTTGCGGTGCCCCTGTGAAGAGGTCACGGCAGTTTGGGAATCACTGTTATAGACCGGTTGGCACTCGATGGGTAATGTGGTTATCATTACTTCTTTTTTCAATAGCATCAGAACTGGAACACAGCAAGCGCTAACTGTTGAAGATGGAGACAAGAGTTCTTCTAGGATTTCTCAAGTACCATGACATCAGTTTTGAACTCAACTCCACTCAACTCAGCTAATCTTTGAATGTGGTTAACCAGTTCATTTAATGAGTTAATTTCTTTCAACAAATCTTCATTACATTTTCTATCTGTCGGTGCCATTCTCATCATTCTTCTATAAGCTCACTTTTCAACAGCAACCATTTAAATTCTAACCAGTCTGCTGACTATCCATGATGAGCTTCAACACAACAAGATTTGCTCTCTACAGCTCTAAAGAACTCTCTTTCCCACCTAAACTGAAAACACATTGTGGCAGCGTAAGTGAAAAGAATATGAATTTCCCCCTACCCACACTTATAAATAAACAGCACATATGTACACCAATTTTTAGAGCAAATAGACATAAGAGGAATATAATTTCCACAGCTGTCTATATAGACAATATACAAGACAAGAAAAATAATTTCCACCATACCCCTCTTTTCTTGAGATCTTCAGGCAATGTCCCCTCTACATCCATTCTCCATGTGTTGAAACTGTGAGAGAAAAATAATAATCTTCCTTTACTTTTTTTTTTTAAAGCTTAATACAACAATGTAAAACAATATAAACTGTAGCATGTGATAGAAGGGAGCCACCATGGTGCAGTGGCTAGATGCTCACCTGTGGAACCAAAGGTAATGGGTTCAAATCCAAACGGAGTCTGACTTTTTTTTTTATGACCTTGGTTCCCAGGGTGACCTAGCTTTAAATGTGTAACAGGCAAAGTTCTGGGAAGTAAAGGCCGCTGGTGTGATGTTGACCACATCATCTACCCAGTGCAGACTGGTCTGTGATATATAGATCCAGCAATAAATGCCCAATATTCCCAAAGGCATGTAAAAGAGTCCTTTACTTTACTAATGTGATAGAAGTACTTTTTTTCCTTCTTCTTAAGTCTCCTAATGGCTTGTCCCTCATTTTTCCTTAACCTTTATGTCTTTTCCTGCTTCTTTTCTTGTTTCTTCTTTTTCTTCAGATTCTACATCTCCTCCTCTTCCACTGCTGCTCCTCCTGCTTCTTCTTCTTTTTCTTCTTCTTCTTCTTCTTCTTCTTCTTCTTATGCTTTTTCTTCACATACCATTCTATTTAAATCCTCTTCTCTCAATGACAATGCAACTTTCTATTCGTCTTCATAAATATTCTCTCTATTTTCCTTCTCTCCTCACCCTCTGTCCAATTTTGATTTCATCTTCCCTGTAGTAAACTCTAAAATACTTGCTCAAAGCTAACTGATCCTTCTTAAAGGGGTTCCAACAACCTGAGGAATACTTCTGCAGCCAAACCCTTTTTAATCACTTCATTTGAGATACTTTAGAAAAATATATTGTATTCTAAGTTATCTCCCTTCAGGGGACTGAAGATCTATTTCTCCTGGTTTTACATTCAAACTGCAGTTTACCGGATCACTGTCCTGTCAATAAAATCATAGAGCAGAGCAAACCCAGAAAATAACCACCCCCCCCCCCCTTCCCCCCATTTCTCTGCCACCCCCACCCTTTGTTTTATTTTGTTCCTTCTCTCTCAACCTCTTACATGCAGATGCACAGAATAAGGAATCCATACATATGATTTTCCATTACCATAGTTACTTACCCTTTAGTAATCAGAGCAAAGAGTCCCTTATTGCCAAAGTTCATAGTTTTGTCCACCCAGCCATTGTCAGAGACCAGTAGCTCTAGACCACGTCTGTATAATGAGAACATAGCCAGTGAAACTAAAAGTTTACATGTTGTGTCTTCGGCAACCTTACAATTTGTATTTCAGCCCACCTGAAATATAACTCAGGAGACCTTATATTTTCTATCTCTGGGAACATGCTTCTAAGGTAACATACATCTAATGGAACATACATCTAAGGGAACATGCATCTAAGAGAATATACATCTAAGAGAACATGCGTCTAAGAGAATATACATCTAAGAGAACATGCATCTAACGGAACATGCATCTAACGAAACAGGCATCTAATGGAACATATATCCAATGGAACATGCATCTAATGGAACATACATCTAATGGAACATGCATCTAAAAGAAAACAGATCTTAAAGAACATGAATCTAAGGGAACATGCATCTAAGGAAACATAAGTTTAAGATAATATACATCTAAGAGAAGATACAACTAAGTATACATCTAAGGGTACAAACATCTATAGGTACATAATCTAAGGGTACAGACATCTAAAGGAATATATATCTAAGGGTACAAACATCTACGGGAACATACATTCAAGGGTACAAATATCTACAGGAACATACATCTAAGGGTACAAACATCTGAGGGAACATACATCTAAGGCTACAAACATCTAAGGGAATATTCATCTAAGGGTACAAACATCTACAGGAACATACACATAAGGGTACAAATACCTACAGGAACATACATCTAAGGGTACAAACATCTAAGGGAATACACATCTAAGGGTACAAACATCTAAGGGAATATACATCTAAGGGTAAAATCATCTAAGGAAACATACATCTAAGGGTACTTCTTCTTCGTCTTCTTCGCGTTCACCAGCTGTAAACTCTGGCGGAAAGTTCTGGTTGTTCATCCACTTCTAGACTGCAGTGCTGTTCCAGAACCTAAGTGTTTCATGTGCATCCGTTTTACAGACCTGACTCATTTGTATGCAGACTGCTGGTTCCTTGCCTCTCAGACAGATGCACTCTGACTTCAAATGAAGCTCCCAATTAGCTGACTCTTACGACATATTCTTTTGATAGGCAGTGGGTCTATTCTTGTTTTGATAGGCAGTGGGTCTATTCTTGTTTTGATAGGCAGTGGGTCTATTCTTGTTTTGATAGGCAGTGGGTCTATTCTTGTTTTGATAGGCAGTGGGTCTATTCTTGTTTTGATAGGCAGTGGGTCTATTCTTGTTTTGATAGGCAGTGGGTCTATTCTTGTTTTGATAGGCAGTGGGTCTATTCTGGTTTTGATAGGCAGTGGGTCTATTCTGGTTTTTCCTATAACAGGGCCCCGTAACCCACACAAGGAATCTAAGGGTACAACATCGAAGGAAAAATACATCTAAGAGAACATTTAAAAACAACTGTGCCATCTCCACAATGCTGGTTGTTTGCAATATGCGATGTATCCCCTACTAACTATGGGACGTGTTGTAATTGTAAATGACCCACAGAGCATGTTGAAAGATAGGCATGCTTCATGCAGAGTGGCAAGCTTCGCTTCAGAGGTCCTGGGTAGTTAGCGCCCTTTTAATACTTTCTCAGGTCATCCCGGTGATACTGGTAAATGAACAAGCAGATAAACTGGCTGCTTCTGCTCCATTTGGTAGAGAACTGATGTACGACAAGCTAGATTCTGTAAGGTTCCTTTAGGAGAGAGTTAGGCGTGGGGAGGCACAAACAGATCATTACAGTCTGAGGAGAATGGTGCTGACAGAAATTATCAGTGGGATCTAACCAACACTTAACACTCAAGGGAAAGGCGAGACGGATGTACTACTAGACAGTTAAAGGTGTTATCGCAAATGGAATCTCATACTTGCTGCTGATGATAGGCATGGAGAACTTATGGGAGTGTTCTGAGCGCTGTAATAAAGATTCTCAATTCAACATTCAAAAACATTCAATTATAGGAACATTATGGAGCTATTCCTATAACCGTGCAGGAAGGTCATGAGAATGGTCTTTCTAAACCACCTGCCCAAGGAACTGAAACCTGGAAAAACACTGACGATTACATTATGAAGGGAACGTTTACATATATGTTAATGAACTTTACATGACAAATATTTCAGGGAATCTTACACATATCTGAGGGATTACATGTATCAAAGCGAACCTTACATACATCTCAGGGGTATATCTCAGAGAACCTTACATACATCTCAGGGAACCTTACATATATCCAAGGGATTACACATATCTCAGGGAACTTTACATATATCTGAGAGGCACTTACATGTATCTCAGGGAATCTTAGAAATATCTCAGGGAAGCTTAAATATCTTTCAGGGAAGTTTATGTGTATCTCAAAGAAGTTTACATATATGTATCAGAGGGAGTCTTACATGTCTTGGGGAATGTTTCATGTATCTGAGGGAACCTGACATGTTTTGTTTTAGGAAATGTTATATGTTTCTGAGAGAACTTCATATGTCTGAGGACATTTGTTATGTATCCGAGAGAACCTCACATGATTTGGGGGATGTTTCTTGTATCTAAGGGAACCTTGCATGTCTTGTCTTAGGGAACATTACAAATATTTGAAAGAATCTCAAGAGTTTTGCAAGTATCTGAGGCAGCCTTGCATGTCTTGTTTTGGGGGATGTCTTGTCTCATTAAACTTTGTATGTATCTCAGGGAAACTAACATGTTTCAAAACATGCTACACTTATCACAGAGAATATTAACATATCTTGTCATGGGCAACATTACGTGTATCTCAGGGAACCTTTAGACCATGAGAAATATGAATCTCAATACTGTTTCTCTGAATGCCTCACATATTCTTAAGAGCTTCAACTTTGGAGCAAACCATCAGACATCAAATGGTGTTGCCGAAAGACACAACAATTATATGACGAACTCACAAACCTATTGATACTTACATTATTTACATGCCATTTACACACATCTTGATGACACAACACATCTTGATGCCATTTACACACATCTTGATGTCATATACACAAATCTTAATGACATTTACACACATTTTGGTGACACAAAACATCTTGATGACACACACACAATCTTGGTAACACTTTCACACATCTTTATGACAATTAAACATAGCCTGATAACACTGACAAACATCTCGGTGACACAAACATCTTGATAACATTTACATTTATACACCCCTTGATGACATTACACACACATTGATGACATTTACACACATCTTGACATTTACACACACCTTAGTGACATTTACACACATCTTGGTGACATTTATACACATTTAAGGGACATTTACACACATCTTGGTGACACCTACACACATCTTCATGACATTTACACACACCTTAGTGACATTTACACCCATCTTGGTGACATTTATACACATTTAAGGGACATTTACACACATCTTGGTGACACCTAAACACATCTTCATGACATTTACATACACCTTGGTGAGATTTACATACATCTTGATGACATTCACACACATCTTGGTGACATTTACACACATCTTGGTGACATTTACACACATCTTGGTGACACTTACACACATCCTGGTGGCCTTTATGCATATCTTGGTGACATTTACACATTTCTTGGTGACATTCACATACATCTTAATGACCCCTACACACATACTGGTAACTCTTACACCCATTTACACACATCTTGATAACATTCACAAACATTTTGATGACACTTACACACATCTAGTTGACATTTACATATCTTGATGACATTTTCAAACATCTTGATGATACTTACGAATTGATGGCGATGAGATAGAGAAAGTGTGGGGCCAGTAGCTTGAATATGGGATGTGACTGAGAGAGATTCCGGTGTGTGGCAACTGTCACCCCTTCCATGAGTAAATGAGTCAGTCCTAGATGTAAAAGAGCAAAGCATATTAGAAATACAGTGGGGTCCAATTGGAGCAATGATGCACAATACAAGACTCTTAATGTCTGTTAGCCTCTCTTGCTCAAGCCTACCTCACCTTCACTTGGTGAACCCTGTTCTTTCCAGCAATCCAGTTGAAGGTTGGGGTCTCAACTTCCAGTGGAAAACTGGATGGGACAACAAGCAAGGTAAAGGTGAAAGACGAAGGGATGAGCCTACTCTCCTCGAGTATGATCAGTCTACCCTTGCAAAGCAAGGTGCTGAAGTCGGATTGCATCACAGCAATCAGGATGCCACAAGGAAAGGTGAACAAAGGAAGAAGAAGAAGAAGAAATACAATACATGTTGATATTTTTATTGTAAAATCATTATCATCATCATTACCATCATCAACTGGTCAACCTGTTGAGTTGTTTAAATGTCAAATATCTGCTTGATAGTGTCATTTCAGACTTGGACTTAATAATTGGTCTATTTGACAAGATTTCTTTGGCATCTCATCTCAAAAGTGTTTATTTCATGTCAGTGATTTAAAAACAAAATGTTTGGCATGTTTGGCACTGATAACAGTGATGCCAGTTTTGGTCACCTGTGTGCTTTACTTTTCTCAACTTATTTCTACTTCCTCTGTATTTTTTATTTTTTTATTTTTCATAATTCTACTCAAATATTAGAATTCTTTAACTTGCTTCAAGGAAGCACTTTTTAAATACATTTTTAATCTTAATTATATTTTATGACATTACATTCATCATTATCATCAAGTCACCTTGATTACTGCCAGGGGTGATCATGTCTCTCTATAATCTGCTATCTTCAACAGTTTGTAAGATTTCATGTGTTGACACCCCTCCACAACATATCAAAAGGCTTCAAGAATTATTTTGTATTGTCTTCTTCTTCCTTTTGTTTTTAATAGGAAGGATGGGGGACTGGGTGGGGATACAGATCTTTCAATTGGTCATAATTTGTTCCAGTCTCCTTCTCCTCACAAGATGACCAAAACAAAATGTCTCTTTCTGCTGTCTATGATAAGTTGTCTTTGAGCCCTAACCTCTTTCAATACTGTGTTGCTTTTTGTTTTTTTTAAATACTGTCTAAGGTATTCTAAGGATTCTTCTGTAAAACTACATCTCCTAGGCTGCAAAAAGGTGTATATTATATGTTATGTTATGTATTGCATTATATTATATTATACAACTGCATTTTATAAAACGAAGATCATCTTATGCAATATATCTCTGTCGTTAAAGGTTAGAAAAAGAATTCTTGCTTGTTACATACATCTAGATTTAACACATGGCTGTGAGTCCTGGACAATCGGTAGGCAGGCTGAACAATTTCTTGAGGCCTCAGAGATGAGGTTTTACAGAAGAATGTTTAAAATAGACATCAGATGGAGACAGTCATCACTTTTCAGCTATGTTATGACAAGAGGGAAAATGGAACATGTTGTGATCACTGGAAAGATTTGTGGAAGGAGGGAAAGGGGAAGACAAAGAGAGAAGATTCTTGACAGTCTTGTTGCATGGCATGGAGGTGTGTCAGCACACGAACTGATACATGCTGCAGGAAATCGTGGATTATGAAGAGGCATGATTGCCCAAGCCAGTCGGCAAGGCACCTGATAATGATTATTATATTATATTATATTATATTATATTATATTATATTGTATTGTATTGTATTGTATTGTATTGTATTGTATTGTATTGTATTGTATTGTATTGTATTGTATTGTATTGTATTGTACTGTACTGTATTGTATTGTATTGTATTGTATTGTATTGTATTGTATTGTATTGTATTGTATTGTATTGTATTGTATTGTATTGTATTGTATTGTATTGTATTGTATTGTATTGTATTGTATTACATTATATTATATTATATTATATTATATTACATTACATTACATTACATTACATTACATTATATTATATTATATTATATTATATTATATTATATTATATTATATTATATTATATTATATTATATTATATTATATTATATTATATTATATTATATTATATTATATTATATTATATTATATTATATTATATTATACTTTATTATATAACATTGCATTACATTACATTACATTCTTCTTCTTCTTAAGTCCATGCTGTGTTGCTTTGGTAGTCATGTATATCCACAACTTTCTGTCTCATGTACTTTAAATCAACTCTGATACAGATGATTGTCCATGCCATGATATCAAACTGTCCAGCATCATTTCTCTCATTCCCCTTTTGCCTCTCCTCATTACATTACATTATATTATATTACAGACATGCTGAAACTAGTGAAATGGACACACATTTAGATGCGCTACAAGAAATGCCAAGACCACATACCCAGATGTGTCAGAGCTTGGTGGTAGGCAGCATCTGCATTGTTGTACCACATCTTCACCAGGGCCCAGGTCAAGGACGGGCTGAGAGGTGTGAATATCTGAAACAAACAGAACAATAGTGTCATTGCTGTATTTATTTGATGATAAAGGCTTTGTTGCTGCAATGTTTATTCATAAATTAATGGTGTGTTTTTACCAATAATTTTTCCCGCCTTTTGCTGTGCGTGTTTTTATTTTTTACATATCTTGCTCTTGTTCTTCTATTTAGCATCCACTGATTGTAAACTCCAAGGGAAAAGATCTGGCTGTTTTTTATTCACTTCCAGACTTTGGTCTTGTTCCAGAACTTGCACATTTATTTTGGCAGATCCGGCTTATTTATATACTAAATGTTGATTCCTTGCCTTTCAGGCAGAAACACTCCGATTTCCAAGGAAACACCTCTAATTAATCTACTTTTACAACATGCTTTATTAACGGGGCAGTGAGGCTTTTCTCTTTTTTTTTCCCACACGGGGAAGGGGTTAGAGGTTATAAAATTATACTCTGAAGAGATTTCACATGTTGTGCTTCATTACATGCTGACGTTAACTCTACAGTATCCATCAGAACAGATACACAGAAATATTGTTACACATGTCTCACAATCTTTTCTTCTACTCCACTGTATCTTGTACAATCTCTTTAACACCATGGATGGACTCCAGTCCAGCATCTTTGTCCTCTCTCATCAATATTCATCTTATTGCTTCTCTCAGATGTCCTTGTTTCCTTAATCTGTTTGTTTCTCTTCTAAGTGCCTGTTTGATTATTCTTTATCCATAGTTAAAATGGCGTTGAGAGGATTACAAGAGGATTAGCTCTTTCAGTACCAAACAATGCACTAAACATTGCTTTGCTGTACCTTGAAAATGTGATCCATTTGTTATACCTATCACAAATATATCTCAATTAATCATGTGCGCCTGAATTATTAATTTAACTACTTCTGCCCTGCAGATTCTCTACTGAACTCCATCTGACAAAAGTATCTAATGCTTTTAAGCTCAAATCATTACAGCAGAATAGGTTAAAGTAACATGTGATGTGACTGAAAGAGTTAAACTATAGGGAGCAGAAAAGAACAGAAAGGAACAAACAGATGAAGTAACTAATAAACAAATTTTGTACTGTCAGCATTAAGTAAGTTGAGGGGTTACTCTAGGATTTCCAGGAAAGTAAGCCAGGTGCTCTCACTATCTGAACCACAATAACCAGTAAATGAGAGACATTGCTAAATAAAAGATAAGGAGGGGAAAAAACCTGGCCAGAATGTGTGCTAAAGCATTCACCAACCTGAATCTCAGATCACAGATAATGAGATCACAATGAGGATGAATGCCACTTAAGAGGATTTGAGCAACACTGTCTGCTAAAAATTGTCAGAATTTTAGTGTGAGCTTAAAAAATTGGAAGCAGAAATCAATAAAGTGGCAAGAATTAATATGGTCATGAAGGAACTGGGCAATAGCAGAGGGAGGTAACAAGAATGTGTTCTGAAAAATAAAAATGCATATCTTTGCAGCAGAAATATACACATGCTATCTTTTCCTATCACAGGCAGCTCCAACCATATCCTCCTCAGCTTTTTAACTTCACTCTCTGGGTCTCTTCTCCTTTGGGGATCTACTTTTATTTCAAGCTTTTGTGGGCTCCAGTGTATAAACATTCTAGTCATATTTATCTCAGGTTTTTTTTTAAATGTGTGTTCTATCCAATGGCAGCATCATTTCATCACCTCTGAATTTACTGGAACCGGTTTAGTTCTCTCCAAAAACTCTACATTATTGACTCTTGTCATAACATTAAATTCCCTCTGTTCTGTAAAGGCACCAGTCAATGAATGTCTGTAATTTATTCTTAACTGTTTTAGTTGTTCTCCATGTTTAACTCTAAACAGCTGTACTGATTTGACATTAGAGCTAAATATGAAGGTAAGTCATTAAACCAAGGCAACTGTATCCTAGTCTGCATGGAACAGTATGCAGAAGAAGAAAAATTATTATTTCAGGACAAAGGACTGCCCCTTTGCAATATGTAAAGTATGTGTCCTGATGATTTAGCAGTTTGTGCATGTGTAACAGCTTGTAGAAGATGGCCACAGCACTGTTAACATGCACCAAGGATGAGAAATGAGGCTGAGGTGTTATTTATTTTGATTTTGTTGGCAGGTGGTCTTAACCCGCCTGAAATCTATTATCTACAGAGACAGTTATTTATTTCAGAGGAAAGTGTATGAATGGGTGGAAGGATTTAAAAACAAGTTTTTTTACCCAACTAACATCATCCCCTTAGATTTATTAAACTTACTAAATTTAGTTATATTACTATTTAGAAATAATTGTCACCATTATTTAGACATCCAAGCATAACTATGAGTGCAAAGACACAGATTATTAATAGCATATTCATTCCAACAGTAAGTTACCGGTGCCAAACATGGACGCTATATAAAGCTCATATACGTAAAATCACCACCTGCGAAATGAGGTGCCTGAGAAAAGCAGCCAACCTAACTATCCGAGATCGAGTGAATAATGAAACTATCAGGCAAATTGTGAGAACGACACCTTGTACTAGATTCATCGAGAAACAGCAGATCAAGTGGTTTGGCCATCTCGTTAGAATGCAGCAAGATCAAATACCATCACAAGCACTACATCTCAGAAGATCAGCTACAAGAGCAAGAGGACGGCAGCGGAAAACATGGATCGACAACATTAAAGACACACTACGCCTTCACAGCATGACAGTAGCTATTGGCAGCCAACGTGCACTGGATCGCAAATTATTCCTCCCCACGTTGCTTAACGGCAAAAGTGGTTTATGATGATGATGACTGTTTAGAAATGTAGGTATAATTAGAAAATATCCCAGCAAGACTTAAATGTTGATGATGTGTACTTTTTGTTTACTAGCTGACGTATGTGAGGAGCGAGTTCGAAAGGGCAGTATGTAAGACAGGACTGCATGCCCAAGTCTTACCCTTTGAAAATATAGTTTGATACGCGCTGAAGCAGAAGAAGAAAAAGAAGAAGAAAAAGCAGCTGAGGCCGAAGATGATGAAGAAGAAAAAGAAGAAGAAGAAGTAGTTGTAGTAGCAGCAACAGCAGTAGTAGTAGTATTAGTAGTGGCAGCAGCAGCAGTAGCAGTAACAGTAGCAGCAGTAGCAATAGTAGTAGTAATTGGTGAGGGAAGGGGAAGGAGAAGGAGGAGGAGAACAAGAAGAAGGAGGAGGAGGAGAAAAAGATATAGTCTGCTGATTTGTTCTTCATCTCAACTACAAAATCTCCCACCACCTCACCATTTACATCTCCCACAGCTACAGATCATTACCCCCCCCCCCCCCCCCCCACCCCAAACACACACAAGGCCAGTAATCAATTAACAACCCTGAAATGTCACCGAAACATCCCGATCATGATGAATTACAACTAACAATGACATCCCCCTGGGAGGAAGTAGCATCAACAGACTACTGACTCTGTCAATGCATGCCACCCACTCCCTGAGGAACTTCTGCCATTATAACTGCTGTTGTTTGCCTCAATCAGCAAACCAGGAACAAATGCTGCCACAAACAACCACTGAAACAATCCATTCTGCTTGCTATTTGTTTTGAGTGTCCCGATCAGGCTTTGATGGTGAGAACTTCCTGACAATTCTGGCTTCTGCATTAGCATTTGATATTCACAAATTACTGCAGTTTGCACCTGCTCTGTCAAACCTGCGGCTCCAATAAGTATATTCTTTCCTCTGTAACTACCTTAGGTCAGTCAATCAATCAGGTGCCATCTCTAGAATTAAGTATGCAGCCACACAGCAATGGATCCCCAGTGAGCATCATCTCCTATCTCTTGATGTTGTCCTTCACAAAATAAAATTTACTATTGTGTAGATCCACCTCTCCAGAGACTCAATTCAAATTTATAGCTGCTTGTTCGTTCTCCAGATTTCTACATTATACAGCAGGGTTGAGAATACCTATAATTTGACATTTCTCATTATTGCAAGAGGGATATTGTTATGTGTTAGTTACAGCAGAACATGTGGGAGGAAGACAAGAGGAAGACATGTGTTAGTTACAGCAGAACATGTGGGAGGAAGATGAGAGAAAGACATGTGTTAGTTACAGCAGAACATGTGGGAGGAAGACGAGAGGAAGACATGTGTTAGTTACAGCAGAACATGTGGGAGGAAGATGAGAGGAAGACATGTGTTAGTTACAGCAGAACATGTGGGAGGAAGACGAGAGGAAGACATGTGTTAGTTACAGCAGAACATGTGGGAGGAAGATGAGAGGAAGACATGTGTTAGTTACAGCAGAACATGTGGGAGGAAGACGAGAGGAAGACATGTGTTAGTTACAGCAGAACATGTGGGAGGAAGACAAGAGGAAGACATGTGTTAGTTACAGCAGAACATGTGGGAGGAAGACGAGAGGAAGACCAAGAAAAATCAGGATAAATTATGTAGCTGAAACCTGCAAAAAGATGAACAAATCCATCAGTCAAACCACCCAAGAAGTGCAAGGCAAATAAAGAAAACCATGACAATGGGCTACAACCTGGTATCAGTGAGATGAAAAAGAAGAAGAAGAAGAAGTAAAAAATGAACGAAACTTTTCAATGCCTTGATATATTCGGGGTATATGCTGACAGCCACATTTTGTTTTAACCCTGTTGGTACTCAAAAGTCCTGGGTTCAGATACACTTTCATTCCCAGACAATAGCAACAACAACAACAACAACAACAACAACAATTATAAAAATTATCTATTGATTACAAATTAATACAACTAGGAAAGTTACAAGTTGAAGTCAAGAGGACTGACTTCACTGCACTGGGTTTTATCTTGTATGACTCAGCCTCTTTCTGCAAAACACCTGCTGAGAGCATCACACAGAGCACAAACTCCATAGCTCCAGGGATAATCCCCAGGCATGTCTGTAGAAAATGAACTGTGTCCGTGACATTAAGCAATGACCTTCAGAGTGCAAGGCAAACGGTTTGTCTATCTCACCATAGAGATACCCCCCCCCCCCCCCCTTTCCATTGGGAAAGATAATGTTGCCATGGCAATGTGGTCTTAGAAAGAGGTTCTTGTTTTACCACTAGATATTGAGTCCAGACCATTGTCTTGGAGGGAGACACAATAATCACTGTTTCCTGTGGCTGAAATACATATAACACTCTCCAAAATCACAACTACAGGTTAAGCTAGAATACCATGGATCAAGAAAGAAAACAACATCAACATCCTGTATGACCTGAGCATCGAGGAGAACTGGCCCATAAACAGCATCCTGTCCTAAAGGCTGAGGTATTATGGTCATGCTAAATGTAATTGTGGCCTGGAAAAAGTGGTGATGGAGGGTACAGTTTTTGGAAAACAAGGTAGAGGTAGACCTCCAAAAACGTTGATAATAAGACATTGAAGGTGTCTATGACTATGAAAAGCACACAGGGCTGGAGAATAAACTGGAGAAACACAGACTTGCAGGTCTGACATGAAGAGAGTGATGTTTTGTAAAGAACTTGATGATTATGATGACACTACGAATGTAATCAACATGGGCTACTTACTGGATTCTCTGGGCCAGGTTTCTGGAAAAGCTGAATAGCAATTGGTCGCAGCTGTTTCATGTTGTCTAGGAAGAAGAGCCCGATTGGCTTGCAGAGCTAAAGGATACAAACAGCAGTATAGCTAGAATCAAACTGAAGGATACAAACAGCAGTACAGCTAGAAGCAAACTGAAGGATACAAACAGCAGTACAGCTAGAATCAAAACTGACCTTGACTCCTACGTCGAACCTGTCAAAAATGGGTTAAAACATTAGACCATCAGTCTTGGATCAGCTTATTGCTCTTTTCCCTAAAAGATTTACCAGTTGTTTCTTCTTTTTCTCCTCATCCTCCTGTTTGTTTGTTTCTTCTTCTTTTTTTTCTTCTTCTTCTTCTTCATCTTCTTCATCTTCTTCTACTTCTTCTTCTTCTTCTTCTTCTTCTTCTTCTTCTTCTTCTTCTTCTTGTCTTCCACCAGAAACTTTATCGAAGTGCTCAAGGCAGACGTAAGGCTTTACTGTGTGCTTGTTCTAATACATTGTATTTAACATAATCTTCATTTCTGTAAGGCTTTTCTTGATGTTCAATGTTCGTCGTGGCCTTTCCCTTGCTCCAGGCTAATTATGTATTTTTAGCATGGCTCTCTGTTTAGTTGCTTCCAGGGAAATCTTCTCAGACGACCAAATCATCTCATCTGTTTCCATTTAATGAACAGTTCAAGTCCTAGTCTTCTCCTAATGTCTTCATTTTAAACCTTACCTCTTATTGTTGCTCCAGCAGTTCGTCTAGATATCTTATCTTTGTTGCAATAATTAGTTCTCATTAGCTGTAGCAAAGGTCTGTTGTTGTTTCTAAACTTTTCTTTTTGTTTTTATATAACATTATGGCATAAATAAGATAACAGGAGCCAGGTGTGAATGCCTCTCTAATTGTAAAAGTATAATGAGGTAATCAGATGAGTGTTTCTAACCACAAACCCTGTCACCTTTTCATAAAAATGTTGGACCAAATACAGGCCTTCAATGTGCATTAAGGTTTAAACGGATTATGACACAATAAACACACAAAAAAATGGATCTGATGCAGTTATTAATCCCTAATGCATAATTCTTAAATTCACTTTGAGCGAATAATTTTAATCCAGATTATTTTAATGATTAAAAAAAATGAGACTGTCTTCTTTTTCTTCTTTTTCTTTTTGTGTATTTGTCCCTTTAAGGGCAGTTAGCCCATTGATTATCTGGCTGACTGACCGACTGGCTGACCGACTGACCGACTGGCTGACCGACTGGCTGACCGACTGGCTGATTATCATCCTGTCTAACATGCTGACTGATTGACGGCAGACTAGCTGGCTTGATGACAGACTGACTGCCTGAATATCTTGCTGACTGACAGACTGACTATCTTACTGACTGATAAACTTACTAACTGACTGGCTGACCAACTGACAGAATGATATTATGACTAATGACTAGCTGACTAGCTGACCACCTAGCTGATTGAATGAAATGCTGACTAGCTGACTGAATGCCCCCCGCCCACCAATCCTTCTGGACTGTTACTTAAAGGTTTGTCAACCCTGTGACTTAAGGAGCCACATCCAAAATGTCCTATTGATCCTACTAACAAGATATAAATAGGAAACCAGTGATTTCTATTTTAAGCACTTTATGTTGGTTGCTGTACACATCAAGTAAGGATCTGATGATCCTAATGTGAGCAGTCAAATGTGTAAGTGAACTGGCCTCTTCTTCATCCTTCTTCTTCTTCCTTCTGTTTTCCCCTCCAAGCTGCTGCGAGAATGTCTGACTACTCTGAGATCAGAGCAACTCAATCTTGATGGCTAGCCAGCTGGACAAATCACAGATATCCTGTTCAACCATTACAGTAATTATAATAGAAGCATCTGTAACGGCCACACCCGCCGAATGAAACCTGTACAATGTAAATTATCCTCTAACCTCCTCAGCTATTGAGATACTGATGTCCTTAGTTGATAAGAACATTTTACCCAATTAGAACATCATACAGAGTGACACAAAGTGCCACCATGCGGAAGAGGATCACGAGTGAAGAGGTCCCAGAAACTGCATTCAACAGTTAGGTTATATTTTTGGCCCTAGGCCACATAATTTAATGTTGAGAATTGACATCACAGCATTCGGGACACTCTCATAAGTGCTCCGTCCCCATCTTCAGCGTCAAGAGAAGAGTTCCGATTCCGATGGTACCAGTAACCATCTGATTGTATATCCGTCTCATCCTTTCCCTGAATGTTGAGCGTCGGCCATATCCCCATGGTAACTCCTCGCAGCGCTATTCTCCTTAGACTGTAATGATCTATCTGCGCCTCCAGACTGTTTACTCACTCCCAAAGGGCCCTCCCAATATCTAACTTGTCATCCATTGATTCACCACCAAGTGGTGCAGAGCCAGCCAGTCAAACTGCCTGCTCATTTTCCAACACACTAGCATGACCTGGAGAAAATAACCAAATGGATGCTAATTGCGCGGGACCTCTGAAATGATGCTTGCCACTCTGCACACTGCAGAGACTGCCTCCACCTCTATTCTCAAACTAGACATTGTGATATCATATGCAAGGCTTTGCTGCACTAGGCGACGTCCATTCTATAAAACCCCATGCACTTCGTCTGCCCCTCAGCACAGAGCCATCTGTATAGATAATCACATCACTTGAGCGGGAATTGTGGCAACAGCCAGATTGTGGCTTTAAAATAACGAAAAATTGCATCCCACAAGGGGACGACTTATTTTGTTTTTACTGATGTTCTTGACTGACTGACTGACTTTCTACCCCACCAGGACATAATACAAGCGATAAACACCCGATGACACAAAGTGCCACCATGTGGATGAGGATCGCCGTGGAGAGGTCCCAGAAACCGCGTTTAGAGAATTGGCCATATTTATGGCCTGCCTATATTGCGGCCCCTGGCAAAAGCCAGAGTGGGGCTTCAAATATTAAAAAATTACGTCCTAAAAAGAATGTAGGAATTATTACAACTGATGTTCTTAACCCCCTATGATTTTCTAATTAATGTACTCCTAAACCTCTATGAGATTCTAAACATATATATCAAATATATCTGTGACCTCTTACAAGTACCAAGAAGAATTAGCAGTGCAAAAACTACAATTCTGTAATCAAAATAGATTTCATTATTGTCCCCACCCAAACTCACTTTAATTTTCTCGACTGGATTACTTCCTATATTCTGTCATCTATTATCTTCCCCTGCCTCCACTATTTACCAGCATTTTGGATACTTCACCATCAAACACATCATCTGGGAACTCACAACAAATTGGTCACGAACTGGAAGTCCCTCCAGAATCTCTAGGTCACACATAAACAGCCTCTTCTGCTCGATCGCTTCCTTGAGGGTTAACCCTTCCAGCAGAGGTTTCAGTAAAGTGTCTGTCACTGGGAGTCTGAAAAATTAAACAAGAAAAAAATTGTGAAAATATTCCAGATGCGGAAAACCCCCTCAATCAAAGTAACTCTCCAAATTTGTTGATTTACAGAAGAAGAAGTGCTTTATTAATATCCTACCCCAGACAGGGAAAATCCACAGGTCACGGGTCAGTCTAATATTTCAGGGGGTAGTAGATAGGCTGCATGCAGTCGTGGGACCTAGGCTGCACTCTCTCGTGGGATGTATGTGGGTTGGGGTTAGGGCCAGTTCTAGATGTTTTGGGGTCGTTAAAAGCATCAGAAAGGCGGAGAAACCCAGTCTTACCACCCTCTAAAATGTTGGACAGTCCTATGACATCATCTGGGGGTGAGATATTAATAAAGCACAGAAGAATCGGTACTTAATATCATGGAGACATAAGCAATAAACTGTATAGCTTGTTTGGAGAAATGCAGAGTTGCTGAAAGAAATAATAGGCAAATAAGATATTTCGGCTGCATCTACTTGGCGTTCGGTTTCGTACGCTCAGGTTAGACCAGCAGGTGGGTCTGCTTCAATGAATTCATGTGTCAGTTGTCAACGGTCAACACACTTATAAAATACCCATTGCAGGGAAAGATTGAAAGCAATCGAGCAAGAAGTTGACAGTGAGAATGGACAGTGGCATGGAGTAAAATTTGTTCATATCAGAAATAACCGACAGAATATAAGACAGGAATGATTATCAACGCCCTCGAACCTGTTAATGAGAATAAATGGAATGAAGTGTGTACGCCAGCAAGAACCTCATCAACACACACCATCTACCAGAACATGATAAGAACGTAACGGACAGATCACATACCAGGAACTGGACATGGCTTAAAAAGTGACACAACCAGACGATATTACAGACATGGCGACACAAAATAACATGCAAGAAATTGAAGTGTGAGTGTCCTTACGTGTGGATGTACACGTTTTTTTTTTAATGAAAGTAAGTGCATTTATGTAGGCATTGGTAGACACACATGAAAGAGTATGCATGTGTGCGGAATGTCAAATAGGTATGCATACACGGATACGTATGAAAGGAAGTGCACACATGTAGTGTTGTCTGCGTGTATAAATGCTCGAGTGCATGTACTCATACACTTAGTTGTGTGCGTCCATATACTCGGGGGATTCATACTCAAAACCATCCCATTCCACATCATGCATACAACATAAACATGATCGGTAGGGCTCACAAGATATGACTGACAGCAATAAGGTAAAATAAATAAATCGATACTGACAGGACTAGAACCTTTACCACCAATTCCACCCCATCAGTGGGAAGATAGCAAAGGTTGGTGACGTGATACGTATTATCCCGGCTAAAGGCCACGCTAGAATCCAGCAAGACGGCAACGACGAGACATGACTAAATGGACTCCCGCCCCTTTTCCCCTCACCCTTTCCTACCTCGTTCGGATGCACTATGAGTTCAACACCCGCTCCCCTCCCCCCCCCCACCCCATTTCCACAGAGAGTACTTGAGTTCGACACCCAACATGCCGCAGCAATTCTCATCGCCGAACATTTGGATCTCAAAGCGTGAGCTGGGTGCTCCGAGTATATGGTATTTACGTACACCGGAGCCTAGCTGCCATCATAAACCGACACAACCGGATCACACACTAACAAATGACGAATAGACCCGCTTTGAGGCTCCACACAACATTTTACACGCATATCCACGACATGACTAACCCGATCCTATTACAGGAAGACAACTATAAGACCACTATGGTCACAGGCGGAAAATTTTCACATTTCGGAACTATCCAAAATCAAAAACTGTTTTCAGAACTTTTTGGCCCCCAAAAATACTCAACATTTTTAAACTGTAAATGGTGGTCCAAAGGACGTTGTGTAGAAAAGCTCGCTCTTCTACGAAATATGCCTAGCCAAATCAAAGGGAGATCAACTGGAAACACCAAGTAAGAAGAGGAAAGACATGCACAGCTAACAACAGGGTGGAGGACGAGCGGTCTTAATCGGAACGAAGCATCAAGCCCCACAACGGCGCAATACTAGAATTTAGTCACGAAAGTGAAGCAAATAACCCAGACCACAAATATAGGCGGAGACTGTTAGCAGCCTCGGCTAGCTAGCAGCAGTCTGAAAGTGGTCGACCTTTTAATTTTTTTTTTAAAGGAATCGGAATCAACGCCCTCTGCTGTTGCTGCTGCTGCTGCTGCTGCTTCTTCTTCTTCTTCTTCTTCTTCTTCTTCTTCTTCTTCTTCTTCTTCTTTCTTCTCTTCTTCTTCTTCTTTCTTCTTCTTCTTCTTCTTCTTCTTTCTCTTCTTCTTCTTCTTCTTCTTTCTTCTTCTTCTTCTTCTTCTTCTTCGTTCTTCTTCTGCTTCTTCTTTTTCTGCTTCTCTGCTTTCTTCTTCTTCTTCTTCTCGGTTTCTTCTTCTTCTTCTTCTTCTTCTTCTTCTTCTTCTTCTTCTTCTTCTTCTTCTTCTTCTTCTTCTTCGCCCTAATCCCAACCCACCCACGTCCCACTAGAGAGAAGAGGTTGTGCAGGTCTTCAAAATATCCTGGATGGGAAGTGTTCCTAAAGGTTTTAATGGAGGCCTTGACCGGAGTTTGAATGTTTGAATGTTTTCTCAACGTACTCGGCACATTACTAACTCTAAAAGCCATAAACTAACAGAAGAGGAGAGTACCACTCCGTACCTCCCTAAAGTACCACTCTGTACCTTCCTAAAGTACCACTCTGTACCTTCCTAAAGTACCACTCTGAACCTTCATAAAGTACCACTCATTACCTTCCTAAAGTACCACTCATTACCTTACTAAAGTACCACTCATTACCTTTCTAAAGTACCACTCATTACCTTCCTAAAGTACCACTCTGTACCTTCCTAAAGTACTACTCTGTACCTTCCTAAAGTACAACTAATTACCTTCCTAAAGCACCACTCATTACCTTCCTAAAGTACCAATCTGTACCTTCTTAAAGTAAAACTCTGTACCTTCCTAAAGTACCACTCTATGTGTGTGCGTGCGTGTGTGTGTGTGTGTGTGTGTGTGTGTGTGTGTGTGTATGTTTCTACACTGACCTTCGCAACTAAATCGACCCAGCTTCAATAGGGTGCCAGGTAATTTTCTGGAAAGTAAAAGTTCCGGCGTGATGTTGGCCACATTAAGCCACCGACCGCCCATCGGTCTATTACAAATATACGTCTATCCTTATAAACCCAATGCTCCACTGAAGTAAAAAGGTCATTTACTTTCATTTGTACTTTCCTTACAGAGTCCGCCAACAAAACGACCGTTACCTTATCCTTTTGTGAATTATTGTCACACAGATAGCCGGCATCTGTGAGTGCGACATTGGGAACACGGTTCATCATTCCCAGGTGCCGGGTTCTACCCCACTGCGAGCGATTTAGCAACAGACCGCCTTGGGGGTGGGTTCAACAGTCGTATCCAGAGCCGACTTTTCAGGAAGCACTAGCACGACTGAACGTAAAACTGTCCCGTAAAATCAAATACAGTCAAACAATTCTTTAACTGGTTCTTCAAGGTAAAGGATACGCAACAAACTGTTTAAATTATATTTTAGGAGTTGTAATTTGTTTGGGAAAACACCGTGTGTTGATGGCCTTATTATTATCACAGTAAGTGTTAAGTGGTATGTATGACATGGAACAACTTAGGTGTCATTTCTGAACTGGTCTGTTGTCCTTTAGATATCTGAAGCAGTTTAATTTGCGTGTGGGGCCTAGGCTAAAGACCCGAAGAACAAGTGGGTTGTAAGAAGGAAGATCGGTGGGTGTGGGTAGAATGAGACGTGGGTTGTAATGTAGAAAGAGCATTTAGTTGTGGGGTAGAATGAGGCGTGATTTGTGGGATAGATTGATATAATGAGGAGTGAGTTGGGTAAAATGAGAAATATGTTGTGGGGTAGAATAAGAGAAATGGGCTGCGTACAGATTAAGAAGTGAGTTGTAGGTAGAGCGAGAAGCTATGGGCTTGAAGGAGAGGTGGGTTGTGGACTTGAACTATAAGTTAGCTGACGGATTAAGGTAAAAGGTCAAGGTAATTTTGGGAGATGTGAACCAGCGTCATTGCACACGATTATATACCATAAGTGCTCTGCCACCAGTAGCGGACAGCTGTTAAGAATTGTCCCGCCTGTGTCGCCGTTCGCACGTAACTCTGTAGCTACAGCGACGTTCCTCCATTTACCCCAGAGTGTTAACTCTGGTACCCATTTCCTAGAGGCTGGGTGAACCCCGGGAGCCGCCCGGTTTCGAGCACCGACCGTGGCTGCATCGAGTCGCAGCTGGATTTGAAAGCGAGCCTCTTATCGACTGAGCTAACGCGGCCCCTGGCTGGGGGACAGAATGATAAGTGGTTTCAGGGCAGAATGAGAAGAGGGTTGTGGCTGGGGGTGAATGAGAAGTGAACTGTGGTAGAATGAGAAGTAGGCTGTGAGTAGAACGAGAGGTGAAAGAGAGAAGGATATATAATATGTTATACAGTGGAATCAAGAAAGGATACCTGAGGGATGCAGTGGCGCCGACACAAAGAAACAATTAGCTCATCCTCCTTACAGAGTTTCTGAGGGCCTTAAGAGGCTTAATCCTTGTTTCAGTGCCTAATATTTATAAAGATATGCAGAAGAGCAAATTAATAAAATAATATATTTCAAATAATGCGATACAAACACACACACACAATCTTAAAAGAGAACTTATATACAAGGTTCAAATGGCTGCTTGTGCCACTTTAGAAAAGGCAGGTGGAAAAGGGGGGGGGGGGAGAGTCTCAAGGCCAAGGTTCCTAAGCTCCCAGATTCGAGAGCCCCTGTGGGTCGGGGTGATAAAGAATGGGTTGTGGGGTCGGATGAAGAATACAAAGTAGTAGACATTAGGACGATGAGAGAGAGAGAGAGAGAGAGAGAGAGAGAGAGAGAGAGAGAGAGGGAGAGAGAGAGAGAGAGTAGAAGAGTTGATTGACACGGATTAATGGATGAAT